ACAGGCGCCCGCCACAACGCCCGGCTATTTTTTGGTTGCAGCCATCATTGTTGTTTGGCGGGTCCGGGCTGGGGATTCGAACCCTCCACCTTAGGTGTACGTGGCTGGCGCCTTAGCCAGTTGAGCTATAGGCGCCGAGCCCAGATAATTTATTTTTTTCTTTTTTGTAGAGATGAGGTCTTGCTATGTGGCCAAGGCTGGTCTTAAACACCTGGCCTTTAGTGACCCTCCTACCTTGGCCTCCTGAAGTGCAGGAATTACAGGAATGAGGCATAGCATCTAGTCTGCATTGTCTCTTAATCCAGTAAAAGTCCTCAGGAGGAGAGCACTGGTACCATTATTAGCGCCAGTTTATAGGTGAAGAAGCCAGGGTGTGGAAACATGGAGAAAACTTGCCCAAGCCATGAAATGGCAGAGAAGGGATTCAAACTCAGGCATTCTGACTCCAGAGACTATACTCCTGACCACTAAACCAGGGGCCAGCAAATTATAACCAGTTTGCTAGGTCTGTCCTGCTGTCTCTTAGGAGTGTCCAGCCCATAGACTGTGGGATGCACAGAGATTATGTGAAAATTTTTTTACTTCTCAATGGTGGCGGATATAATGAAAATTATGTACAGACCTTTTTTTACTCATCAGCTTTTATTAGTTCTATATTTAATGTGTGGCCCAAGACAACTCATTCTTCTAGTATGGCACAGAGAAGCCAAAAGATTCAATGCCCTTAGCTGTAAGTCAGGCTTTATTGGAACACAGCCCTATTCTCTTACTTAAATGGTATCTATGGCTGTTTTTCCACTAAACTTCTGAGTGGAGTAGTTAGAGCAGAGGTTGTATGACCTGCAAAGCCTAAAATATTTATTCTCTAGCCCTTGGGGGCATACTGTTCTCATTGTGAGTTATCTATCCCAGACACACAATGACTCCCTTTCCCTTTCTTTCAGCCACTGCTCCTTTGTCATCGAAGCACTGAAGTCTTTGCCATCAAATGAGGAGAGCCGAGACCGGCAGGCCCGATGCATATGGTTTCTGGATACCCTCATCAAATTTCGAACTCAGAAAGTGATTAAGCGGAAAAGTAAGCCTGCGGCAGACATTTTATTCTAGTTATTTCCAGTCTGTTATTTGTCTGTAATTCTTAGATCAGCTTTAATGAGAAAAGAAAATGGAACTATCTAAGTTTTAAACTGAACAGTGGTGAGATTGCTATTGGTACTGCTGTCAAGTTCTTTTTTCTCTTTGGAACGGTTTACTCATCTGAAAATGGGGACAAGTTGGATTATATGATTGCTTAGGGCCATTCCTGAGCTAATAGTCACTACTTCTTTTCTGTTAGACAAAGTATAGTGTCCAGGTCAAATCAAATGAAAAATTTTGACTGTTAGAACAAACATAAGTTTATATATACATGGTATACATTGCTCATGAAGGCTTGTGGCAGGTTTGTGTTGTGTTAGCTACTGGCTAGCAGAGGAGAGAGTCCATTTCCGATGGTTACCCCAGTGTCACCTGTAGCTAGGGCCATTTGTGGCTGTCGCTCATATCCACCCAGTGTTGGAACCCAGCAGGAGACATCTGTGGTTTTAGGCATAGCATGTATTCAGTCATTGTTATTCTGATTCCCGAGGTTATATTCATATTTTTTCAGTATAGTTAGTTGGTTAATGATAGGGACACACATCGTTAGTGTATACTTACACAAACCTAGATGGTATACCTACAGTACACGTAGGCCATATAGTATACCCTATTGTTCCAAGGCTACAACCTCTCCAGTATGTTACTGTCCTGAATACTGTAGGCCAGCAGTTTTCAACCTGTGGGTCGAAACCCACAGGAACTGTATTAAATGGCTGTGGCATTAGGAAGGTTGAGAACCACTGCTGTAGGCAATTGTGACACAATGGTAAGTGCTTGTGTATTTAACCATGTCTAAGTAAGAGCACAGAAAAAATATGGGACCACGATCAAACCTGCAATCTGATGTTGACTGAAACGGCTCAGGACTGTATCTGCTAGTTCTTATTCACACGTTCAACTCTCTCTTTCTCTCTGGGCTTTCTGCACAATTTATTTCTTTTCTAACATCTTAGTAATTCTGTGTCCTTGGTCTCATTTAAGTGTTGTTTATTTCCTGTCGCTACAGCATCACAAATGTCTGTTTGCACCTACAATCTGCAGGCTGAAACACACCTGAGCATATTTTCATTTTGAAGCAGCTGTTCTATTTCATGGGCCCCTGCTTCTCCTACTACCTGGTCTGTTCGTGACCATGGCCCAGCTGTTGGCCTCTTCTCCCAGCTCATGGTTGAAGCCTGGCTAAGTGTTTTGAGAGAAAATGATCAAACTCAGCTTTCTGTTGTAGGTGCCCTGGGACCTGCAGTGCCACACATCATCAACACCAAGCTGCTGAAGCACTTCACCTGCCTGACTTACAACAATGGCAGGTCAGGGGCTGATTTCTGGGGACTTTGTCTGTGAATGAGCAGTTCACAGGTGGGGGTTGAGGGTGAGGAGTAGGGGCTCAGGTTGTATGTCCCCAGAGATGTGGTGCTGAAGAGATCATTGCTTTTGGAAGGAGCTCTGGGTCCCGCAAGTTTCAGAAATACTTACATACTCTGTCCCCTCTTGGAAAAGTTCACACTATCTTTTGGGAATAGTGTGAAGTGTTAAGATTTGCTCAAAGAACCTTTCCTGATGGCCAGAAAAACTAGTGTTTTATGGAAAGACAGCCTTGTAGGAAAAAGTAGGCCAGGGTGATGACTTTGGGGGATGACCCCCAAACAGCGTCTTGGGCTTCCTTTCTGCCATTTGCTTGGAGTGTTTTTCCTGCTTCTGACTGTTTCTACATGTATCATCAGCAACTGAGTTTGGAATGATGGTTTTCCCAGCAGTCTTCTGGGCAGGCAGTGACAGATTCAGAGGGCCTTTGCCAATGCGAGACTCTGACGGTGCCTGAGGAGAGTGCTTTCTCTGTCCCACTTGGAGGGAAGCACTGGGGTTAGCACACTATGCCATTGTGTGTGAGAGTTGGATACCTTAGAAGGAACAAAGAAAGTTGCCCAGATTCCTTTTCCTTTCCTCAAATTAGGAAGACATCGAGTGCATATGGGAACAGGCTTCGATGTTTTTATTTTACTTTGGGGGAAATTTTCTTGGAGTTTAATTTTGTTTCTCCTTTACTGTCACTGATTTTGCAGTTTGCGTAACTTAATTTCGGACTCTATGAAGGCGAAGATTACTGCGTATGTGATCATACTTGCCTTGCACATAAGCAGCTTCCAGATTGACCTGACGATGTTACAGAGGGACTTAAAGCTCAGTGAGAGAAGGTGAGCACACAGAATAAAAAGCTCCCTGTAGGGTGCCTTGATGTATTTCTAGTGCCATGGGGGATGTTCAATATGGGAAAAACTTGGGACCAGAGGACAATTTTTAATGAACAAATGAGCAAGTAGATATTGCTGAGTACCTTCTCTTTGCCAGGCACAGTATTAAACTATAACCTTATTGATTTCCCTAAAAACAGTTGAATAATCTGAGGTTCAGAAAATTAAATGACTTCCTCAAGTTATGCAACCAAGGGGACAGTAGCTGGGCTTCATATCTGAGCCTTTCCCTAGCATTTTGTTCCTGAATAATCGAGCAGCCTCCATTCTCTAAATTGCTGTCACTGGGGAGAAGAATTCTGTATAGTTCTCAGGAGTGGAAGTTATGAGAGAGCCCAACTTCAGCTTAGTTAAGAGGAGCGTTCTCAGAATCAGATGGAAGGGCCTAGTAGGGGAGGTGTCCCAGGCAAGGCACAGCCACTGGTTAGCAGAGACGTCACGTTTGAGCTTTTCTTTTTTCCTTTTTTTTTGAGACAGAGCCTCAAGCTATCCCCCTGGGTAGAGTGCCGTGGCATCACAGCTCACAGCAACCTCCAACTCCTGGGCTCAAGAGAGTCTCCTGCCTCGGCCTCCCAAGTAGATGTGACCACAGGCGCCCACCACAACGCCTGGCCATTTTTTTTGGTTGCAACCATCATTGTTGTTTGGCAGGCCCAGGCTGGATTCGAACCCCCCACCTTAGGTGTATGTGGCTGGTGCCTTAGCCACTTGAGCCACAGGCGCATAGTCTTTTTTTTTTTTTTTTAAGAGACAGAGTCTTCATTTTATTGCCCTCGGTAGAGTGCTGTAGTGTCACAGCTCATAGCAACTTCCACCTCCTGGGCTGCGGTGATTCTCTTGCCTTAGCCTCCTGAGCAGCTGGGACTACAGGCGCCCGCCACAACGCCCGGCTATTTTTTTGTTGCAGTTTGGCCGGGGCTGGGTTTAAACCTACCACCTCGGTATATGGGGCCAGCACCCTACCCACAGGCACTGCCCTCTTTTTTTTTTTTTTTTGAGACAGACTCTCACTATGTTGCCCTCAGTAGAGTGCCATGGTGTCACAGCTCACAGCAACCTCAAACTCTTGGGCTTAAGCGATTCTCTTGCCTTAGCTTCCCAAGCAGCTGTAACTACAACATTTGAGCTTTTCTAACTGAGTACAAAGAGCTGGTGGAGATGGATGACCTCTCATGTCCTTCTATTCTTGCAGTGGGGATTAAGACAGTAGGGGGCAGAGCTTTTCAGGAACCTGAACTGTGGGGTATCTCATGTCCAGGGACCCTGATGGTGTTGCAGAGAATCTATCTAGACCAGTGATTTTCTTTTTCTTTTTTTTTTTA